CCTCGAGACCTGAGCTCAGCTTGGCGAGCGCCTTGCTGCGCGCGGCGCGTCCCAGCCCTCGGAGGAGAGGCCCCCGGGTGGCAGGGGCTAGGGCCTTCTCGCAGCATCGAAATGAATTTTGTGAAGCGATTTCCTGCCGCTAAATTAAAGTAACCAGTGATTTAGCCCGGGCGAGGAAGGAAGTGAAAAGGCTGGGAATGGAATCACATTTGTTCCCTGGGGACGCAGACCCACTGCGAAATTCTTCCACTGTGTTGTTTGTGTTCTCCGGCTTGCCTTTAAAAGAAATTATCTGGATTCTGACATCCTTCTTTTCAGGCCTGCTGAGTCACGGAATATTCTGAGCGCCAGAGTGACTCAGTTCGCAGAATCTGAGCCAGAAGATCATGAGTTTCAGTCCTAGATCAGAACCTGGGCACGGACCCAACACTGAGCAAACAACGACTGGGTCCGAGCAGCAGTAGCCCAGCAAAATGCAGCTGCTCTTAGTTTTTTGTTTGTTTGTTTTTGGGTTTTTTTGGTACCAGGGATTGAACTCGGGTCCTTGTGCTTGCAAGGCAGGCCACCGAACTGCTGAGCTAAATCCCCGGCCCACTCTTAAGACTTTTGAGTCCTTGAGCAAAGTAGATGCTCTAAGTAAATGCAGGAGATGGATTTTTTTTTTTAACTTTTCAGAAAAGTAAGAATACTACGTGGTTTTAGAGCCAGTAGTCCTGTTAGATAGTGGGGATCTAAAACAAAATAAGTAAATGTTAAGTGACTATGGCTCAATTGCTAATTAGGAGGGCTTTAGGTAGGATGGTCTAGCTGGATTGGGGGTAGGCCGGAGGCAGCTAGAGGACTCTGGCAGAGCCTGCTTTTTGCGTATATCATTATATATTGCTGTCGGATATTGTTCGTTTACTCGGTGAGATAGTCGGAGATTACATGGCTAAAAGTCTCTACCCGTTCCACCCAGCACCCTCTTTTGGGAGAAGGAAGTTGTGAGAGCAATAATAATGTTTAAACCTTTCATGCTGGAGTTGAAGCATCGATATAGTCACATACTTAAAGGATATGATATCCTCAGTTCTTCCTTGCGCTTGAGAACAAAGGAGCGAAGAAAGATGTCAGTTATAAATAATGCTACAGATACTTTAATAACTATATAATAAATATTAATGCAGTCCCCTTATTTTACATTGTCAGGTCTTTATTAATATTGACAAACTAAAGGGTGAGTCTCTTGTTTACCAGGAAGATAAAAGGATAAAGGTTGAAACTTTAAAAGCTGCAAAAATCTGTGTGAATTTTTCCTTTTCACTTCACTTTTTGTGTTCTGAGTTAACTTAAAGCTATTACCTATGCTTATTTGCTACACAATTTCATTACCAGGAGTTCATCTGACATTTGTAAAGCACATAAAGAGACCTTGACCTTCATCTCTAAATCTCACTGTGCAGGGGGATTGTGTTACAGTAACAGGGAAGCACCTAATGAGAAGTAAAGCACACACAGCCAGTGTGCTCGATAATAAATATTTTGTTCCATTCCTTGGATCTTGATTCAAAGATTTTGTTAACAGAATTTTAAAACAATTTGGGAAATCTGAACATTAGATATTTGATAATATTAACAAAGTACTTTAGGTACCAAGGAGATGCCCAAGTGTTAATATTTTTTCTAACATGCAGGTATATGAGATTTTCTTTTACTGCAAGTTGCCGTTTTTCAAAAAATTCCAGAGCCTTCTAAATACATGTTAACTGCTTCAAAATTCCGTGCTTACTAAATCAATATATGGTGTTTAGAAGAAAAATATGAAAGTGTAGAAAGAAGTAAGATTCAGAGCCCTCAAAAGAAGACCTTAGTGGCCAATCATCAATCCAGGCAGAGACATAGGCAGGATGAAGGGATGTAGTTGTTAATTGAACAGGCAAGAAAATGCTAAATTTTTGTAATCCCATTTAAACAATAAAAAAGACTTCTCCCTGTCAGAATTTATGTAAAAAAATTCCAGGAAAGATGCTCATTAGCCTGCTTTGGTCCCTTGCAAATCCCTGGGCATTCTGACACCTAGACAGGTGAATAAAGGTACAGCTTTACCAGCCCACCAGAAAACCATGGAGCTTGGGGCAAGCAGTTCAGATTAGAAGGCAGGGTTGGGTTTTTTGTTTGTTTTTTTATTTTGTTTTAAATCATCAGGATTCAGAATGTGTGATATAATTAGAAAAATAATTTGAAAGTTTGTATTGACTTTTCAAGATTGCAACTTGTGAAGAGGCAGGCAGCAAGGGCCAGTGAGCAAGGCTACACAGCATCTGAAAGCCCCACCGCCCAGAACCTGGGCCCTATGGGTCAGGGACAGAGACCCCCTTCCTGAGAGGATGTGGCTGTTCACACTGCCATCTAGACCAGGAAAAGCTCAGTCTTCACCTTGGCCTCGGAGGAATCCAAGGTCCACTGACCTTTGTCAGGACCTATTAGGCCACATAAATGTGACTGGGACACAATACAATAGGGGGTAGAAAGCGGCCCCCAGGATGGGCACCATCTCAGGGACAACACCATTGGCATCCTGGCCAACTAGAAGAAGGGCCAGTTTGTCACAAAATTGCCAACGTGAGAGCCCCTGCATCTCCCCAGTCTGCCTTCTTGGTGACTTGTTCTGGGTGTCAGCCAGTGCCCTTCCTCCCAAGCCTGCAGTCACTGTTGGTTATTTCCCCCAGGCTGGGGCAGACAGTCGCATCGAAGTGCCCTAGAAGAACTGGGCGTGGTGGCACAGGCCTGTGATCCCAGCACTCGAGGAGGCTGAGGCAGAGGAACTACAAATTCAAAAACAGCCTAGGCAGGGGGTGAAGGGGGGACAGGGGTATGGGAAAAAAATGAAAACCAAGATCTGTCATGTAAAGGTACAAGACCCCAATGACGAATGTAACTGTATTGTATACTTAAAAAGTAACAATAAACTCTGAGAAAAAAAAAAAAGCAAAACAGCCTAGGCAATTTAGGGACTTAGCTAGAACTTGTTTCAAAATAAAAAGGGTTGTGGATGTAGCTTAATGCAAAGGCCCTGGGGTCAATCTCTAGTATTGAGGTGGGGGGGATTATAATTTCTCCCTTCTTTTTAGCCTTTTATAATTACTAATGTTTATTTTTCCATTTTTTAGTCTTTCTGACCTCATTTCCTTGTATTCTTCCCAAACCTAAGAACCACTATAAAATATGCTTTATCTTTAGAAACATAACCTATAAATAACAGTCATGAGTAATAATATAAAATATTAGCCTATAATTACATACGCCTATTTTTCAAAATTACACTAAGCAGAGGATATTTCCAACCTAGAGTTGAAGAAACTAAGGCTTGAAGTGATTAAGTAAGCACTGTAGGCCAGTAGAAAGTCAAGCCAGGGCAAAAGCCTGCAATTTCCAGCCCCCTGTTCAGTCTGCTTCCTTTTCTGCTGTGTAAAAGTTGCACTATGAAAGAGTTCTCTTGGGCTGGGGATTTAATTCAGTTGCACCACGCCTACCACACAAACACAAGGTCCTGAGTTCGACCCCCCGTACCACGAAAAAAAGAATTCTCTTTACATTTCCAAGGTTTTTAGATTATCAAATAGAAATTTAAAATTAGTTGAAAATTAATGTGATACTGGGAGTGAATTATAATTTCCCTCTTCATAGTTATAGTAAATGCACATGACACTGAGTTTGGCTTATAGACCATGCCTCAGTTTTTTGTATAAGTCCAAGCATAACAACATGAGCTATCTTTTGTGGCCAAGCTCAGGTAAAGAAAAGATTCTTCTTGCATGAGTTAAAGTCCTTCCTCCCCACCCAGCCCTATGCACCAACCTCGAGTCATCTTTACATTCTCATACTAGTTTGAAAAGAAAAAAAAAAAAAGGACCCTTCATAATTTAAAACAGAACCTTATTGCAATATAAAAATTTTTAAAGGAAAAATTTCCAAAAACAAGTAGCAAAATCCATCCTCACACCTCCCCAAATCTTCCCATCGTGACAGAACTTCAGCTCTTAAACATTTTACTATTCTTATTACTAGTCTCAATTCCATCCATTTTGCTGCAGATGACATGATTCCATTCTTCTCTGTGGCTAAGTAATAGTCCATTGTGTATACATACCACATTTTCCTTATCCG